AGCAACCTCAATGCCCACAAGTGTAAGAATGACAATTTGCCATTTTACGCTATTTCTTGGCCAGGACCAGCTGCTAGGCAACCAGTGGAAACTGCCAGCCAAGAAACAGTCCAGCACATAACTCCCATAAGATTGTTGTTTTTATTCTCTGGTTTTTACACAGGTTACACAAACCAAGAGCCAGGGTAGCTGTTTCCTCCTGTTTTCAGTCATTATGCTAAGCTAAGCTAACCAGAAGGTATCTATAGCTTCAGAAGAGACATGAAAGTGGTACAGATCTTCACATGTAACCCTCAGCAAGAGCAAATACTTCAAAAAATGCCAAACTATTCCTTTAAATTTGAGCACCATGCACATTTGTTCCGTGCAGGATTATGATCTCACCATGGGTCAGTGTTTTTCACTCCTCAGAAGGACATCTAATCCCTCCACTGATGTTAAAAGTGCAGTTTTTACACAGGTGGATGTTTCTGATGCAGGTTTCTGAGCTCTGGTATGTGGGTCTGAAGGAGGTCAATCATGCCTCTCTGTTTTCTACAGACAAAGCAGCCTCTGAATACCCTCTAACCTAACCCCATCACTCACTGTTGACCTGAGTCCCTTGTTTGGTGATTAATTATCCCTCCCACATCACTTGTCACAGTGCAGACGATGCAGACACATGCACACACATGCACACATGCATGCATGCAGCTCTGCAGCTACTCTGCTCTCAGCTGTGAGTGTAGATAAGGGAAATAGCACAGTTAGCATATCCAGCACTATTTGCTCACCTCTTTCTCAAACAAAGAGGTAAGCCTGCCTCTGATAACACACTTACAAAGCGTACATGCCGCCATATTCTTGCTCAACCCTGCAGGTTAAAGGTGAATGAAGATTGAGCACAGAGAGTAAAACTACACACCTGCTTTATCCTGTTGTGCAGGAAGCAATGAATGAACCACAAGCTTGATCTGTGTCACTACACTGTTTCCATATTGGAAAGTAACCTGCTGTAAAATGTGATGAAGTAATGGAAGTTTTTTTTTTCTTTTCTTTTTGCCACATATCAAAGAACAGACGACCCCCTCCCTTCGCTACCCTCAGACCTGCTGGAGGTTCAGAAACCCACTTCCTGGTACTTCTCATCTCAAGGTGCTTCTATCACACACCACACAAACAGGAAACAGTTCTCTTTCATGTCCCTCAAACTGCATGCAGTATAAGTTCTTCTGAAAGGCTATAGCAAGAAAGGAAGTTTAGCACGAGCCATACTCACCTGGTTTAATTTGAGATGTGGAGACTTTAGCCTTTGAATATGTTTTCTTCTCTTCTTACTTTATTAAAACCTAAAATGCAGAAAAGTCTCAAAGTGGGAACCTTTCATCTTGCCATCATATAGATTTGCATACAAAATATGTTACACCACATAAGGAAATAGTCCTGTATAGTTTTTCTCAGCCAAAATTGACCTGGAGATGATAAGCAATTCTCAATAACATTTTGATAAAGTTATGAAGTATTAAGCTGATAAAATTGTGTTCGGATCCTACACAGAACATCCAACCCTGCTCTTTGCTCTGACTAAACATGAACCCCAGCAGTGAGGCCTTTGTTGCCTTTGCACATGCAGTGGCCCCCTGAATTTGTAATTACTGTACGTCAATAGCATCACAACGTACGAGTACATTTGTATAACCTTCTGTTGTATTTTGGCTTCTGCTGCCAAGTTTGTTGTTGATTCATGCTTTAAAATGAAATTATTTAATTTGTAGTTCACCCTGGATACTATTACTTTCGGTTTTGTCACCCAGATGCAGGATTTTTAACTTGCTCCTTTTGTGTGACACAGAATGAAACAATGAGGTAGTGAGTAATCATCCAAAAACTAGTCATAACCACCTGTGAATATTAAAATACAAACAATATTTTGAGTTTCCCTCTAATTTATTTTTAATGCAGAGAGGTACTTGAAGTTACACTGGGCCCTGAAGTAAAGTCAGACTCTCAGCAGGAAGGTGACTTGTTCAAAGATGGGGCTGGAGGGTGGGAGGGTGGGTGGTGGGAGTAAAGGATCAAGACAAAAATCTACCAGGCCCAGGTCCTCTGGTATAAAGCAACAAGGGGGCCTCCATGGGTCAGCTGTGACGGGTCAGCACCCACCATTGTATGGAGGGAAGGGAGTTCCTGTTCTGGCTCCTTTTTGCAATCTGAGAGAATATAAACATGGACAGACGGAAGTGTCCAGAGAGCAAGGAAAAGCAGAAGCAGTGTGGATGTTGAGTGGAGAGTATAAAGGGAAAGCTACAGTATGTTGTTACTGAAATCAAATACCACTCTGCTTGTATTAATGGTCAAAACGATTCTTATCTCCATTTATTTTCTATGTAAAAATACATAAAGTTGACCACATGGGGAACTGTGCTAGATAGTTTGATAATCATAACAATCTGACAATCCATGGCTCAATTGTTTATCCCTTCCTTACCAGGAATGTCCTCACACACTAATCAATCAGCTCACATGTAACCTCAGGATCAGTGATCAGGTCATAACCTCAGCATATCACACTTTATTCTTGGAATAAAAAAAAAAAGAAGAAGAAATATTGATCCCAGCCAGATCAATATTTCTGCTGAAACCAGGAGCTTTGTGTCTTTGCGTAACCAGACCTGCTCAATCGGAGTTTGATCATCTCTAGGTCAATACCCCTGACTGCTCTCACCAATCAACTTCCACCACAGTGAAACTCCCTTTAGCTCTGCATCATGCACAGAGAAGCACAGTCAGCAGACCTCTTGTATTTCCAATTTTTGTTTGATTTTACTTTTAAATATAATAAAATAAGCATGTTTTGTCCCTTAATATAAAGTGTGGATGTTAAAGTCTTGACACTGAAGTATGTTGTTGCCAAGGAGTCAGGAACTTGAGAATATTTTGGCAAATTGGGATTATTAAAAGAATGCCGATTAGCTACTAGAAGTTCCTGTTGTTGTATTTGTGAGTGTTTGGACAACTATCACTGGATTGATTTGATTCTGAAGAAAACTGAAAAACATGATCATTCTCAGGCAAGTCCTGAAGGTATAAGCAGATTCTTTTTTGCTGATTTCTAAGCGGATTTATGGGGCGCAACTCTGAGTCTGAAAGCCTCTGGTAAAGAACTTTGACACAGCTGCCTTCCAAAACAACTTAAATCCCTCAAGGCCTTTATTATGCAAATGTTTTAAAAATGGCCATTTTCTTCTAATGGCACCCAAAATGAAGTCAAATGAGAAGTTAAATTTGAAGTTGTAATATTATTTAACCTAATATGTTTTAAAAGGCATTTGGAACTTAATCTTCATTGCAGAAATTAAGAAAAGGAGATGATTTTAACCCCAATATTGTCCAAAGGATTTTGTAGCATGCATTAAGTGTGTGCTGTAAATGTGTTGGAGCATCTAAATATGCCTGATTTCCCATAAACAACACATGTACACAATTCATTACACAGTTTAACTTTTCCAAAAATATGGGGTTTATTGACTTAACTGCAATCAATACTTACAAAAAAAGAGAGAAAAAAACAAAACAGGTTTTCATATAAACTCACAGAAATTACTGTAGTGGAAAAAAAACATGGCTGAAAAAATACATTCAACAGTTTTACTTTCTTTGTGTCAAAATCTGTTCACCTCTTCCAAACACGTGAAGGCAACACAGAACAAGTGACTTAAAAAATTCATTGTCCTCCATTATCAAATATAAAAGGCTAGAGATGCCTTAGCTACCTGGAATGTATTCAGTGAGGCACTTCCAATGGTCAAGGGGGGATGGGGGGGGGGGGGGGGGGGGGGGGGGGGGGCCCAAGCAAGTGCATCAAGCATCCAATCAAATTAAAAGAAAAACTAAATAAACTTTCCTCAACCCATTTGGTCACAGCTATTGCTTGTAATAAAGAGACTGGGTGTAAGAACATTACTGACAGAAGACATTTCAACAGGACCAGTCTTCTAGCTTGGAGACTCTTCTAAACCAGTGATGCGAGGTCTTTTGGCACCCCTTTACTTCTACCATCAACCCAGGTACTGGGAGAATACTTCTCTTTAAATTCGGGACAAGATCAGAAACAAAAACAGACGAGTTGAATCAATGTAATAACAGTTAGCTACTGTTACTGTCAGATTATTGTAAGGTGTGCGCGCGGGGGGGTGGGTGGGTGGGTGGGTGCGTGCGACGTCAGGAATGAATACAAGCAAATCTAGTTTAGATGGAATTGCAGTCCAATAAGAGGGAGTAAAGAAAAAGAAAAAAAAAGAAAAAAAAGAAAAAAAGAAAAAAGTACAATAAATAATCAAAACGCAAAACATCTTTTTTTGCATTTTTTTTTGCTTTAAATTAAGTTTCATTTTGACAAAGTGTAGTTGCAGAACAAGTCATTGAAGTACAATATATTAAACTGTGAAAAAAGGAAAACTGACAAAAACGTCTTCACAATCTTTAGATTAATATGGAAGATCATAATTTAACATAAAAGAAAATATATTCTATTGTTCATTATCCAGATAAATACAAAACAAAATTAACAAAAAATGCATATGATCACCAATAAATATGTTCTGATAAGTTAAATAAGCAGTGACAAGAAAACCTTCTGTCGGAAAGTTTTTCAAATAATAATAACCGTAATAATAACATTAATAAAAAATAATTATCAAATAAAGAAAGCAAAAGGGATGTAATGAGTACAGAGAGTGCTCCTCAGAGCAGGCTTTAAAGTAGGGGAGAAGTAAAGTAAAATAGCTTGGAGATCCGATCTCATCAAGTTGCAGGATGTACAACTGCACCATGGGAATGCTGGAATTCCCCGGATCGGTGAAGATGAAGGGAGGGAGGCAGGGTTGAGAAGCGGGACAAAGTCTTACAGGTTTAATGATCAGTTTGATATCAAGACTTCCTTCCCATAAAAAAAAAAAAAAAAAAAAGAGCCATGACCAGCCCGGAGGAGAAAAGATCAGTGGAGGGTGGGGGTGGGGGGGGACATAACCAACTTCCAGTTCAAAGTCCTTCCTGCAGACTCACCCAGTCCACAATTACATAAGACGGGGCTTGAGAAGAACCGTGACAGGGGGGGTGGAGGGGGGGCAAATGCGAAAGAACCAAAAACAAACAGTAGTCCATTCACCCTAAACACATGCAGAAACCGCCCCAGGCACTTTTATCTTTTTTTCTTTTTAAAAACTATTCATATCTTTTCAGGGTCTGTTATTTTTTTTTTTTTTCCTTTTGTCTCAACTCAGTCTGTAAAAACGGCTGCGGTAGATCTACAGTTACGTTAGTGAGCACCCTCTAGCTAGCTCGGGGGAAGTGGTATCGTCAGGGAGGGGAGAGGCAGGGAGGGGGGCTGGGGGCTAGTGCAATGCACTCCCCTTTCCAAGGCCACTTGTGCTGCTACACATTCAAGAACAAATGAAAAAAAAAAAAAAAAAAACAAAAAAAAAAAAAAAAAAAAGTGGCACCTGGCAAAACAGTCATTTCTTGTTCTCATGATTTTCATTGTTCAATTTCCTCTCCTTTTTGGCACTATGACACATGGCAGGTTACTTTTTAAAACTTGCTGTGTGGATTAACCGGGATGAAATGATAATTTTAGTTCCCTTAATTGACTACATCCTTATAATGCTAACAAGAAACTAACACGGTGTGTTGTGTAAGGGAAGACAGGGAGGCTAAGGAAAGGGGCAGAGGTAGAGGGGAGTGCCGTGTTCTCTTTGTGTCATCAAACTTAAAGTCATTGGTGGGTGCATGCAGTTTAGTCATCAGAGATGGAGAGGCGGCTGAAGATGGGAAGGCGGCGGGTGGTGTCCAGCGTGGGGGACTCGGAGCCACTCAGGCTGCCTCCAGAGCTGCTCTGGTAGCCCTCTTGGTCTGACAGAGAGTCAGGAGGGCTGGATGGAGACTCGAACATCTGAGGGGACTCCAACATGGGTCTGAAATAGTAAGGTGTGCTTGTTGGAGAGGGAGGTGCAGGGGTGTTGGGCTCTGTGCCTACAGGACCAGTACTGAGGCTGGGCCCAAACAGGTTGGCCAGCTCCTGGCTGGAGTAGGTGAAGGGGTTACTGCTGGGCCAGTCGGCGCCTTCATCAGGGAAGAACATGGGTGGAGGGGTGACCGAGGTGGGGCTGTCTCTCAGCCCAGCTGAGCTGGAGAAGCCTGCGAAGCTGTAGCTGTGCTGCAGTCGAGGCCTTTCCATCTTGTTGGAAGGGTTTAGAGGGGAGGACTGCTGGGGAGGTCCACGGCGCTCCTCAGCATTGTGGATGAAATGGCAGCGTGGCCCATAGGGGCAGAAACCGATGGTGTGGAAGGTGCGGCACAGCTCAGTTTTGTATTTGGGATGGCGGCTCAGGCTGCGCAGTTCATGGATTCCATGAGCAAACTGGCATTTGTCGCCATATTTGCAGGAACCATTCTCCTCAAAGGGCCTGCAAAGCTCCGTCTTGTATCGGCTGGAGTTCACTTGGCTACTGCCGCTGGTGGGACTGGCTGGGCCAAGGCACTTGTTGATGAGCCTCTCACCTGTCTCAGAGAAGGAGCGGTCTCGCAGGCGGTTCTCCTTGTTGTTGCTGGCATTGCCAACCCCTGAGATGAGTGAGGAGTGGTCCGCTGCCTTCAGGCTGTTCAGAAACTGGTTCTGACTGAACTTTGTGCTGCTGACCGAGTGCCGCCGCTGGTACACACCTCCCACCGAGGGAGATCCCACCGCTTTCCTGTCCAGCAGGGCTCCGGTGGGGCTGGAGATGGGCATATTGGTGCCAGTGCAAGGGACAGACATGGGATGGGGGGCACCCAGGTTATTGTTGTAGCTGAGCAGTTTGTTGTTCTGCAAAGACACAAAGGAAAACACATTAGAACAACCACTCCAAAGATTCTCAAAAACTGACAGTCAACATGGTCCTGAATTTCAAGAGAGCTGGTGGGCTAGAGAGAAAAAAACCCCACAGCCTCCTCTTGCATGACTGTTCTTTTTGGCTCCGACAACATGAGCGGATACAGGCCTATAGAACAGCAGCTGGTTTGGCAAGTTGCCCTGGGTAGGAATGTGTGCCTGTTTAGTAAATGGAGCAGCAGCACATGAGGCCAGTGGGCTGCTAGTGGCTACAAAGAGGCTGCATCATTTGAAAGATAATGAAAGTGGCCAAGCATCCTGCTGAACTACAAGGGAAAACTGATCTGCTTTTCAATACACTCCCTCACTACAGGAGATGACTGGTTAGTCGCTGATTAACATGAGTATTAAAGCCAGCGGAGAAGAAAATCTAACAACCACAGCGTAAAGTTTTAAAAGAAATTTGACACCGAAAACTTGAAAATACACGCAAAACAGTGCAGTGACGCTTCCTAACCGAAGAGCCGTTACGATTTAAAAAGAAGTTCTTTCCCAACAGATTTAAACGTTAAACGCGGTTAATTATATAAACCGTTTTATAGGGGTAAGGAGTAGGTTAAAGCCAGACAAATCTGGTCAATGATTAGCGAGCATGTGGCTGCTTTGTGAGAAGCATTAAAAGTGGCGCAAAACTGCTCTCATTTAAAGAAAGATACGACACGAGTTAAAGTGAAGCTAACATTAACGGCCGTTTGCCCTCGAACGTTAAACGCAACTGGCAAGCGAAACCTTAACTTAACTCAAGTGCCACATGTTGAATATGAAAATGCGAAAGTTTACCACTGCAGCAAATGTTCAGTTGATATTACCGCCGGACTTCGGCTACACTTTACAGACACTCGTTTAAACCCAAATAAAGCCAGCCACGACGATTAGAGAGGAAATAACAGGCGGAATCAAACAGCAAACAACAAAACAAATCAAAACAGCAAAACAACACAGTCTCCACACAGGCGTCACGGCAGAGGGCCGCGGGCATGCAGCTCATCATTCCTCCACAGCGGCTAACTCACTGCTGCTAACAGGCTAACAAGAGTTCACTTTTCTGGAAAAGACGACAGAGAGAGAGACAAGAAAAAAGTTTTGAAGCTACCTTGTTCATTACTTCGAAGTCGAAGAAAGGCGATACCACGGCTGTGGTCATCTTTGCAGCGACCAGACTCAAGTCAAAGTAGTAAAAAAAAACTGCTTGTTAGAAAGTTGCGCAGGTCTGCTGAGTTTCTGATTTGCAGCTCCTGTGTATTTTTGACCCTGCAGAACTCCCCCTCTGCCCTGCACCAGCCCCGACATTTGCTTTATAATCCGTTGCAGGAGGAGCCTCAAGCGCTGGGCGTTAACTTTCAGTTAACTTTTTTTTTTCTTCCTCTTCTCCAGGACAAACTTGCATTGGTTTGACAGTTTGTTTGAGATTACTACTCTGCTACACGCAGTATGAATACTAAACAGCTGTGAGCCTTTATTTCTGAGAAACATACTGTGAAACGAGTCAGTTTTAACATTTATCTCTGTAGTTAAGACAGTTTGTAAGTTTACCAGGAGAGTGCAGACACATAAAAAGTGACTTATTAAAGTACATGCATACTGTACATGCTCTGTTTATTAGCTTTTTTAAGGTTGTTTGCTTTACCTTAATATACAAATAAACAGTGCAAAACTATAGAAATAAAAGTAAGTTACTATCAGCAGATTTTAAACCCTAGTGGTAAAGAGTAGGCTACAACTTTATTTCCTTTTTTTCTTGTGGAAATCAAGTACTTAAACAGTCTGGAGTTGTTTACTAAGAGGCGCTGCACTATCCTCAGGGTTTCAGCTACCATCCACTACTCTGTAATTAATTTACTCTTAATTGCTGGACTGTAACGTCACTTGTGGGACTTTCCGGTGAATTCAGGCAGCCAGGGCTTTTAACTCTTTCCCGACCACAGTTATTTCCCCCTCAAATTCTTCTTTCTCTCTCTTTTCTCACTGTTTCCACCACAGTTCGTCTCCTCTTCCTTACCAGCAGGTATAAAGCTCCTCTCTCCTGATCTGTGTGTATGCATGGATGTATGTGTCATTTCATCAGGTACAGGCGATAACCTGATACACGAATGATCTCACTGAGTTCAACCACAGCCAGTCACAATGACACATATAAAAGAGCCTGGCTGCAGAGAGTGAAACCTATACAAATCTATTGTGGTCCATCTTCCTCCTCCCTCCCTCTCTCCCTCCAAATCCATGACAGAGCAGCCATTGGCCATGTGCAGAGTCAATGTCAGGGTTGGGTTGCAATAGTAAAGAGAAGAGGGAAAAGAAAGGCAGAGTTGGGGGAGAAGAAAAGAAGCTGTTAACAACAAAAAAAAAAAAGGTTGGAGTTGGAGTTGGAGGAGGGGATGATGGCGTGAGGGGGAGATTTATGGGGGACGTTTATTACTACACAGCACTGCCCCAGGGAGGTGAAGGAAGAGGGGTGGGGAGAGAGAGGCAAAACATTCCCTTTCCCCTTCCTCTTCTTTGCCTATACAGGAGCCACACAGGGGGTGGAGAGCTTTGTCTCACTGCTAGCAGCCGAGGAGGAGGCAGGGGGAAGTTGTTTTTGCACTGAAATGTTGAATTTATTTGAGATAGAAAAGACCAGATACAAGGCCTGGGTGCATCTCTCAAACAAAGTTCTTTCACAAGCTGACCTTTAGGAACTACAATGTTATCTACCCCATGCATTAAGAACAGTAGATATGCAAACGCTGAGTTATTCTGGACCCAGCCAGAGAGGAGCGAGGGTGTGTGTTTTAACATAAAAAGAGTTTTTACGAGCCATGGCTGCGTGGAGTAATCTCCCCCTGGAGTGTTTTCACAGACGACAGGGTGGGATGACAGACTTGTTGGAAATCACGTCTGCAGTTCAAAGGCCCTGCCACTGATTGATTAAGTGGATCAGATCGATTGTTTCCCTCTGAGGAATAACTATAGCAGGGAATTAGGAGGGGAATCACAACAGTTTTTTCTTTTTTCTTTTTCAGCAATACAAAAATCTGTAGCTGGTGTGAAATGACCTAAACGACTCGTAATATGTCACACATTAAACAGAGGCAGAGTTTATTTTGGTCCGGTAAAAGCACCGCGGACTATGATGTTGGAGTTGGAAATTTCACAGCAGATACAGATTTGAACTCCGTAAGGTCAACAGGCCTCAAAACTCAACATCAAGCCACTGACTCTGATGGAAATGTCTGTTTTTTTTTTGTTTTTTTTCTGTTTTGTTTTTTTGCTGGACCTTGGCCTCAAGAAGCCTCCTACACTGCAGTTGTTTACTTTAATACTCTCAGATGTATCATGCCTGCTTGATATTGTGCGACTCGGTAATCCTTCCAGGTTTAGGAGGAGGCACCTGTTTCCTGCCAAAGTGAAAATATAAAGAAAGAAAAAAAAAAATCAGGCTGCTCTCTCAGGGGAAAATGTCAGATGTGTTCCTGTTTTAAAGATGCAGACAGTATAACCCCCATAACTGACATAACTTTGACACAGTGCCCTGGAGAAGTTTGTACACGCCCCTTGACTTTTTACTTTTTAACATTTAGTTTTGCGAAGAGGTTATGTTAGCTAAAATGCATCTGCTGACTTCCATGCCAAATCCCTCTAGCCTTATAGTGGCAAAATTCATTTGTGTTACAGTGTAAAATGAAGTTAGAGCAACTATACTTCACACACAAGCAAAAACAACAGCGACATTTCTCACTTTTGACGTATTTAGGTTAGATTTAGCAGTTATGAACTATGTTCCTCCTTGAAGACATGTCAAAAAACTTTCTTTTCGTGCTAACAAAGTTAAGACCAGCTCCCTAACTGGGATTTGGTGGGATCTTAGGGTATAGGCTGGACTATATTTGTCTATATTTGTTTATCACTGGGCCTTATAGAGAATATTTGATTGATTCATTGATTCAGTGACCAATTGTTTTAGCTCCAGCATGTGCAAGTGCAGGTGGAATTTTTATGAAGTTTAGCTTTCCAGTCATTCCACAGACTTCCACGGCGACAAACACAGAACGAACAAACAAAATCTCAGCTCCTCAGGCAGGATTTTCCACTGGCTGTTGACAGAGACGTCTTCTCTCTCCAGAGAATTTATTTCTGAGAATTTGTGCTCCTCGAGGTCAGGGCTGTCCTCCTTTGGCTCATATGGGCCCATCAGTCTGAGTAGGAGCTGCAGTCAGTCTCTAATCAGCCTCTGCTGGATGGTTTGATTTCTGCCTCCTGCGCTGTCATATCTGATGACCTCTCCTCAGAGGGGAGGACGGGGACGAGGCTTCAGGTCAGTGATAGTGTTTAAGTGGGATGACAGGATGTTAAATTTTTATCTATCTGAACTGGAGATGAAAGAAGTCATGGAGAAACACAACAAATTGGCTGTGGTGACTAATAGCAACAGCCTACTGCATTTCCTCCTGACAAACAACAGAGGGCAGAGTTCTTCCTTCTCTCTGTCCTCTTGTTGCACCACTTCCTATTTACTCCCCTATCTCTGTGAAGTATTTAAAGTGTCCCTATGTTTACCGAAAGCATAAATTTAGATTATCAGAATGTCTACACCTCAAGTGTGAATTTAAAATAAAAGATTACACAAGCAGGTTTAGCACAGTCAACACACACGTCTTTCCTTGTGTGGCTTTGAGGGGAATTAGGACTCAACACTATCCTGTGTATTGTGTAATCAGCCTTTGCACTGACACACTAACTTACTGGCCTTGTATGAAGCAAAGAGACTTATCAGCTACAAAACACAAACTAGTAGTGCGGTAATCTCAAACTGAGCTGCACCACATCCCACTTTGGGTGACCACAGACTCATTAACGACATCTTAAAGCAGGAATAAGAAGTATTTTTACTGCTGCCTGGTGCATATTATGTAGTCACTGGTTGTTGATGAATACTAGTGACTTAGCTGTTTGCCACATAATGGCGTTGATGATTTCTTTTCAAGTTCATTTTTGTATCTGTTTTGGAAGAAACAGCCCTCCCCACACACACACCTACACCTACATTTTCGATTCCTTCACATTAAAGGATATTATGAGAAACTGTGAGTGAAACATCGCCGTTTCACTAGAGTTTTTTTTAATCCTGTATTTTGCGGTGGGCAAAATGTCAATTCCAGACAAACACGCAGCGGTGAAAAAAATCCTTTATTTACCCCGAAATTTGGCAGAGTGGAGTTGCATAAAATGGAAATACTCAACATCCAAGTACTGACAACAACACTTCAAGGTCAAGCATGATATATTACCAAAAACTGCCAGTGATGTTTCAACTCCTATAAAAAAAAAAGACATAGATTACTTAATACTCCTATAACTTCCCATTTTTCTCCAGCATGTGAGCACATCTTTCGAAACACTGCCAGGACAGCTCATCAGCCTGCTGATTGTTGAGCAATCAGCAGTCAGGGATAGCTGCGCAAACGCAACAGGAGTTTGGTTTCTTGAATATGTTGTCATGCATCAGCCCACGTTCGCTGTGACACTGCGTGGGTTTTTATTTCTGTATACATTCTCTTCCCCACATCCCAGTTTGTGTGATCCTGTTCTTGTGTGTATAAGCTTTGACAGCCAGGACACCATGATTACCTCCTTTCATGTGTCATGGTATGTATGCCAAATTCATATGGGAAGCGCTGTGGTCATCGTGCAGGGTGAAACTAGCCTCAGAGGAAGAGAGTTACGGAACGAGAGAGAGGGAGGGGAGGGAGGAAAATAAGAACTAGCAGCGATTAATTGTGCATAAGAGTAGCCACAGCATTGTTAGTGGTGAACCACCAACTGCTCTTGCTGATGTTGTTCCCATGGATCGCTCCAACTTGCCCATCCACTCACTTCCACTGCCCTTCATCTCACACTGGGTGGGATGCGGCATCAATGCGAGCCTTGGCTCATTCGGATAGCTCTGACACGTCACAACATTACACGACCAGAGTTCAAAACAAGCACCATCTTGGAAATGAATGTCTTTGGCTTCATCAGTGCCAATTCGCGGCGAAATACAAGGGTAATGATGTTTTGGTTAAATGCAAGGTCATAAAAATAGCAACAAAACAAGAGAGTGAGGGGTCAGCGTTTAAAGGAGATTTACTGTTCAGTTCTCTGCTGACACCCCGATCTCCAGAGCAGAGGTTGTATTTAGAACGAAAGCCCAGCTTCCTCCTCTGACTTCCTGACCTGCGTTTCCTGAGGAACAATCTTTCTGTCTATCCAGAGGGCTCATGGGAAGGGAGA